GCAGTAGTAGCAGTAGTAGTAATGGCCTTGGAAGCAGGAAATGCGTTTCGTCCCGCAATCGGTGGTGAAACGTCTGTAGTCGAAGCGCTCAGCCGGCAAACAAACCATCATTTCCTATGTGATAGACGCACACCAGGTGCTCATTGAGCTATAGCCGGTTCTATGATTGAACCAGCTTTTGCTCTAACACCGTCACAAATACTGTACTCCTCGTTAACCTAATGACTAGAGGGCAAATGGAACGCGGCCGGATCTGTAGAAAAACAATACATCACCAGCTCTCAACACTACATCGTGCTTGAGGTTTCGTCCATTTTGATATTATTGGCTTCACGTGCCTAACTTAGCCGTTGTTAGCCGAATGTTTCCTTAAGTTGAACCTATCGCTATTTCTTGGGATGGCGACAATCACAAGCGAGCTTAGCCGAGTGAATGGAGACAGATTATGTGCTACAGAAAAAGAAGGAACTTTGCGCTGTATGTACGCTGTATGTAATTATGTGCTGACAATGAACAATGAATTTATACGGGTTAAGAAGCGTTGCTTTACAAGTCCCGTTGGATAGTTGGTGGGGATATCAACATAACAATAATGACGATAAGGATAGTAAAATAGTTAATACTTTAAATATGAAAATAAGGACTTATCGTTTGCTTCGCTGCAGTCCTGCGATCCTCTTAGATTCACAGCACCCACATTTAACAACAAATAATTCCATGGTAAACTCCAGGTGTAGGATGGAGACGTAGTGTTAAGTAACAAAGTGTAAGTGGATGAGTGCATCGTCCAACCGTCTTTTAAATATTGTTAGTGTCGGTGCAGAGACGACCGATTCTGGGAGAGCATTCCACGGGTGACAGACACGGATGGAAAAGAAATTTCTGCGGCACTCCAGACGACTGTATTGTTCTGCGAGTTTTAATGAGTGGCCCCTCAGGTTTGTATTGCTGCTGAGTTGCAGTAAAGGGCGGCACACATGATGTGGATCTCGCAGAATCAAGTATGTCATAATCAGGTCGCCTCGTAGCCTGCGATAGCTTCCACTGAACAATCCTAGTCGTCGCAGCCTCTCCTGGTAGGACAGATTGCGCATTCCAGTTACGTTCTTAGATGCCCGGCGTTGAGGCTGCTCCAGTGCATTAAGGTCGTGTTTCAGCCATGGATGCCAGGCTTGAATTGCGTATTCGACATGGGGGCGAACATACGCACTGAGCATTTGTCGAAATATGGAGCCGTTTATTTGTCCAAACGCCCGCCTCAACAGCCCCACATGTTGGTTCCCGGTCTTCGAGGCCTTTTCGGATTGCCTGGAGCAACCCAAGTCATCTTGAACCAGGACACCAAAGTCACGTTCGAGAGTTGATTGTTGCAGTACATCCGTTCCGAGTCGGTATGAGTAGCTGCTTTGATGTCGGATGGAAAGCACCTTGCATTTACTGACGTTGAAATGCAATAGGTTTTGGGTCGACCATTGATACACCGTATCTAAGTCACTTTGAAGCACATGTTGGTCGGCGTTCGCCTGGATCCTGCGCCAGATCTTGATATCGTCGGCAAACATTAGGAAGTTTGAAGCGATTCCCTGTGCAAGATCATTAATAAACACCAAAAACAAACGTGGACCTAGAACTGAGCCTTGCGGCACACCACACTCGACTTGTATGGGGTCCGATAAAGAGCTCCGAACTCTGACCACTAATTGCCGTTGACGTAGAAAGTTGGCGATCCAGCTTAAAAGAGGGTCTCCGATCCCGTAATGCTGCAGCTTGGATAGTAGTATCCGATGGTCTAGACGATCGAAAGCCTTGGAAAAATCCAGGTAGATCACATCAATACCTTCTCCAGCGTCGGCTGCCTCGGTCCAACTACTGCGTGCAATTAGTAAATTAGTTGTACATGACCGCTGTCGACGGAAACCGTGCTGTTCAGGGGTGATGAGGTTGCAGTTTTCCAGATAGCACACCAGTGCATCGGCAACTATGGATTCCATGACCTTGGAGAGTATAGGAAGAAGGGTTACTGGGCGGTAGTTGGAGGGATCAGTTCTGCTTCCACCTTTGTGGATCGGGCTTATTATTCCAAGCTTCCACATGGCGGGAACTTGGTTCTGGTCTAAGCAGTGCTGGAAAAACTGAGCTAAAGGTCCTGCCAGTTGGTTTGCTGCTGCTCCCAATGCCTCTGGACGAATGGTGTCGATACCCGGCGAGCTGTGTTTGCGTAGAGAAGTCAGCTTTTGCAATACAGCCTCTGCGGTAAAATTGATGTGGGTTAGTCCTGGTGAGCAGAATACAAAGCTTGGTAGATCGCTTGGTGGCAAGACCCATTTAAACGTGGGGGCGTATTGCATCTGCAGCGCGTTTGCAGCTTCCATAGATGTTCTTGTTGGGCCATCAGCCGTCTTGAGTGGAGGAAATCCTTGCCTCACCTTTCGTAGGCTATTAACGTGCTTGTACAGCAGTTTGTGGTTAGCACTGAAGGTTTTTGCGATGTTCTGCTGATAGGCGGCTTTGTCTTCTCTTAACAGTTGAGTGCAGTAGTTACGTTGGGCCACGTAGTTGTCCCAAGTTTCTGGTGCTGGAGCTTCTCTGTACACTCGCCATGCTGCGTTGCGTACTGTCATCCATTTTCGGGTTCTGCTCCTAACGAAAGAAACGGATTTGCACTTATTGCAAGCTTTTATCTCTGAAGCCTGTGCAATCAGCTGACTGAATGTGTTGACGTCAGGCTTCATATCGGCTGTATTCAAAAAGTGGACCTTGGTCACTAATCGGTCATAGTGTAGAGAGAGAGACAATAATTACCAGGAAGACCAGAAGATCAGAGAAACTGGATAGGGTAGAGACAGGAACAGGCGCAAGTGAGACCAAAAGGAGCAACGCGGACCTGACAAAACAAGCCGAGAACGGGTAGCGAGCCGTGACCGGCAGTGAGTCTAAGCAGGAAAGGTATTCAGTGAAGGCGAAATAACTCAGAAAAATACGCCGTTATAGGAGCTTTTAAAACTGATCTTAAGCAGAGTGATGCACCTGCGATTAAGAAAATCACGAGTTATGGAACGAATACTGGCCGATCAGAATGGGACGTGCAGTAGTAGAGATAGGGGATGAAACATGCAAAAACTATTCACCGATGCAGGCCGTGCAGGTACATAGATGTACTCATGAATAGATTCTTGATGTATAATTAATTTAAAACAGTTAGTTCCCTTCAGAAATTTGAAAAGCACGGTAAGAAGACGAAAACCGGTAGATGCATGCATTTCTTATTGTCTCCTCAGTACCATTAACAATAACCGGTGTGTAACTATATACTTGAATATGTGTGTGACCGAATAAGCATGAGGTGAAAAATGAATGACGGAAGTTCAACCCCTATATCCACGGCAGTCTTAAGCTGATAAATAATTGCTTTTGAACACACAGGGGCGGCTTCATCCGGCTTATCGCAACGGCCTCGGCGAAACGGAGGAAGCGGGGATTAGGGTGACGTAATACAAGTGTGAACGCTGATCCGAGCTCTACTCGGTGACGCGTAGTCAGTAGGTGTTTACCTATTGAGGAAGCTGGCGGCTTGCGCAAGCACGGAACTTCGGTAGGACAGGGATGCTGTTCGATTTCACGTTGAACCCACTTTGGCACGTGTTCCTTTATTCGGGAAGTCAAAGACCGATTGGTTCTGCCTATGTAACTGTTTCCGCAGTCGCATACGAATTTGTATATGCAGTGTGAGTTGGCCCCTATCGGTTGAGCTTCCTTCGTTGGAGGCACCGGCAAGTTACAGGTTCTATTGATTAATTGGTGTAAAAATTAAGTTAGAGCTCGTCGCAGCGAGTTTCAACTTAGATGGTCCTCTAAAGGATCCGGACCCACGACTACTAGCGGCCTGCACCACCAGCCAACAGTTTATGCCACTGAGCCATGGGGGATAACGGCGGAACATCATAATGTACAAGCTAATTTTCATATAATACATCTCAGCATACACTACCATGCAAGTTACGGACGTTGTAGTGAACAGGTTTAGTGCCTCGTGGGAAAGAAACGTGATTCATATGTGCGTCTGTGTGCGTGGTCCGGTAGACTGTTGTCACGTAAAAAAGGATTTTGCTTCATTGCCGCGTCGTTCTGCCACAATAACAACCAACATACGCTTCAAGAGAAAGTGTAAGTTGAGCTGCGCTCAGTCGGGGTCGGCAAGCCGTTCAAACTGGGCCACAACAACTGCTCGCTGACCTGTTTGACTGATCCATGCTGCATTAGCTTAAGATGGTTGCGAAATAAAGTGACAGAAACCAAGTTTGGACCAAGATAGTACAAACAGGTTCATGTGGAAAGGATAGTAAGGGAGCGTCTGAGCTTTTACACGAAAAACAATTATCATGTTATGCCCAGTGGGGAAAGGCACCGCGTTACTTAAACTCAAGCGCAAATGGCGTGAGAGAAACACGACTGTTTTTTGTTTATTACTACTTTCACTGGAATTTCCCTCCACTTGGTATGTAGTCAACTACAAGTTAAATGCACCTTCCCCATTCGCTAACGCGGTAACCAATCGACCGTTCTCTCTTCCATCCGAATACTGTCTGTCCAATATGAATCGCTGGTTACAAGATAACTTTGCGCGATGTGACACGATTGACTACTTGTTATAACCGCCTGATGATAGCCCCAAATTTGGTGGCAGTCCTAACGACTAAGTTCTGCGCAGGCCAACATTCACCCATGGGACTCCTGCGTAATATAGCAGTGGGTGGGTCGTCGGTACAATACGAGCCGGAACCCCGATTCCAGCAATCTTTCCTCCGCCTCGGTGAAATAGAAATCGTAATCCACATTTGGCATTACAAAAAATCAATGAAAAGATTGTGTGTGACTGTACCACTCAAAGACTTATACGTGTAGACAAAATGTTAACCCATTCCACTGAATTGTATTCACCGACGAGTGGGACATACATACATCACTACCATGAGACTTCCGATATACTTTCCCCTTCTTAGCTATACTCAACAGAACTGGCCATTCTCCTGTATCAAGATAATCACCAATCCATGTTGTCGGGTCAGGTATTCTCCACCATGTCCTCATCAACTTCGTCGTCCTCATTACAAGGCAGAAGTGTAAAACCTCAGGAATTTAGACCGAAGGTTTCTGGTGTAAGTGCGAAAAATCCACCATCACCGCAACCTCCGAACCCTTCACTCCACACCTCCTGCTCCCCCCAACAGCATCCTTATGCTGTATATGCCATACCTGGATCTTCTCTGTGCACCGAAAGCTGCCAAACACAGCCACATGGTACCCAATTTGCCTATATTCCGCTGAACTCACAAATCCTCAAAGTAAACAGGTAAGCTCAATGCGTGAATGCTGCTCATACGTGATTCCCATCGGACAGTTTCCAGATTACAGTGTCAACGGAAATGCGGGTGATGAGCTATAGTGCTGGTGGTGGTTTAGCTTAAGTGTTCTGACATTTCGTTTGAGTACGAAATGTCAAAGCTTGTGTTTAGGTCAAAATGATCGACCGAAGTAGAAGGTGTCAGTGAATAGCGAAACTTCCCCCAATCATGACCAGTGGTGTCGAGATGAATCAGAGTGAGGGAAATTGCAACTAACAAATTATTTCTAACATAGAGTAGGTAGTGTTATTTTTAATGTAAAATATATGTTAACACGGTTACTGAAGCCATAAACAGAGTGACAACACTCAATGTTAGTTGAAATACCACTTGGACAAATTGTACGCCGTTTGTTTTGACGAATGAGTGAGCGCAGACAGGCTATCGCGTCCGCAACTTCAAGATCTGTCATGTATTTCATGGAATATATCCGGCTCTAACTTTAGTTTTATAGATGAGGGCCTACGGAGTATCATAAACTAACTGACTTCGCTCGGTGTAAGAACTTAGGCCGGACAGATTTTGATACTCGACATAAACTATGTTGTTAGCAATCTAACTGACTCAACAAAAGACCGGAGGAAGCCGAGATATCTCAAATAGTAAATGTCATCTAGATGGAGGTTTTTGCGTATTACAGACACACTACGACCTTCTGACGAGTAGGGACTAGACGCCGCTTTGCAGATGCTGTGAAGGGGCGACCGTTGGGAAGATCCAAAGATGGCATGAACCTGGACTGAAGAAGCTCTTGCGCAGAGAGCAAAATGTAGCCACAATACAAAAAACCAGTTTGTATTCTAAACTTTCTGGAATCACAGTGAGTATAGTTATACTGCAGTCACCATTATTAGTTGTAGGCTTAAACTGACGCTTCTCTTGACCATATAAACAGTAAAACATGCGGGACACATCCAACTGTCCGAAGGTCAATAGATATGATAGGCGTAAAAGCGGTGGGTGTGCATGGTGAGGAGAGCGCGATATTATTGTTGGTTGTTGTGGGTTCGGTCAGAAACATGGACAAGTGAGTATGATATCGCAGGAGTTTCGGGTTTCGTTGTACTTTGAGATCTAGAGATTGAAGAGAAGCAGTCGCGATGGTCGTGTACGCAATAGTGTCACCCATACTAAACGGCTTAAGGCAGGTTGTCGTACGTTACATGAGTACGTAACTTAGGTTGGTAGATAGGGCGAGGGGAATCAGGGTTAAAATCTCTGAACAAATATGACCATCATTTCAAACAGATACTTCGGGAGCCCTTTTGAATTCCAATGCCATGTATTGGATGTTTGTGAGAGCGTTTGTGCACTCAATGGGAAGCGTTTACAATATTTCTCCATGACTGTCATTCACAGGCATCATGCGGAGTCAAGTGCACACGCACTGTTAAGGCGATGTGAGCTGGTGGCTCAAGGAAACGAGCAACTGTACCCAACCGCGTCGTCGTCGTCCAACAGTACAGCGCCCTCTTCTTCCCTCGGCCGTACATTCACTCGCCTACTGCAGCAGGCTCCACTCAGCCCCGGTTGGTTTTCCACTCACTCACCACTGGGCCACAACGTACCCTCCACTCACAGTCTGACTAGCACAAGTCTCTACGCGAACTCATGGTATGTGAGCTTGAGTCACCTAGGCCGCCAGTCCGCCGTCAACACAACGGGTCGTGGTGAACGAATGTCAACGCTGGAGAATTGTGTTGGTTCCGAATCATTACCTGTCCGTACCAAAGTCTCGATGACAAATGTCCCCTCAAACAACTCCAACGTTAAATCATCGAAATCAGCCCTTATGACAACCACGCAACATCAAACGCCAGTGTCCGAAATGGGTAGAGGGTGGCAAACACCTGATTCAGGTGCAGGCAGCAGCAGCACAAACGAAACAGCGCAGCAACCCTTGATCCATCCCTTCTTAAGAACAGCCGACTTCTTAACCGCTGCTGACATCCACGGTGACCTGCTGCATAATGCATGCTCAGTAAGTCTGTTGGATGCGTTGCCACCGGTGTGGAGCCGATCGAAACATTGGACACGGCGACACTCAATTTGTGATTACGATTCCGATTCGTCAGACTCGTCGGGGGCAGTAACCACAGGCGTGCAAGAACAGAGGCATGGAGATCAACCTCAGAACACTAGTAGTCTGATGCGTTTGAGTGCATCTACCTGGACACGATTGGAGGAACGAAAATTACGAACGATTCTCGGCCAATTGTTCCGGGCGCTATATCGATTGAAGTCGACGATTATTGAGTTGTCTTCTCACAGCTCTGTTTCCGATGACGATAACGAATCACGCCGATTGTGGGATTCGATCAGAAACCAAGACGGCAGTGGTCAGCTTCTCTCGGTAAGTTCACAAATTCTTTCTTACCCAGACTTATACGTGCTGGTGTAACAACGGCTAACGGGGAAGTTGTTAACTCTGCCAAAAGCAAGGGACTCCATTCTGAATCACAAGGACACACAACTAAGTCGGTATTCATGCGTAGCGAATCGACTAATTAATATTATTCTTCCTGTCCCTTTAGTTGTTTTGCTAGTTCTTTCATCCATATATTCCGCATAAACTAACCGATTATTCTAGCGACCGAGAACGGAACAGTGTCAGGACACGCACACTACAGTGAAAACGCAAGATATCCACAGTCAAGAGGCATGCAACCGGTTTTAACCATGTGGAATTGCTGTTTCGCAGGAAAGTAAAGAACATTGGGGAACTTCTGACAAGAGTGGATGTCCGAATGAGATTGACATAATGGGATAACATACTGAGAGAGAGGATAAAGGGTTCCACACAAACAATGTACAGACATGAAACAGTAGATGGTTCCAAGGATCACTCATTTTCCCATGGTATATCGGCCGGTAGAGGAAGCCAGCAAGGTGCATGCACTGAAGCGACTGTAAGCCGTTTACTTTACATGAAGTTGTTCTCAACGCTTACATCCCCGAGTTAGGGTCTAAGAGCCAAAAGGTAAATTATGGTAAATTCATTCAGAAAAGCATAACTGCGACCTAATCGAGAAGCGTTGCTATCGATAATCAATTGGCTGTAATTGCGACACAACCTTCGAACCTTTTACCTATCACCGATAAATTAATTGATACAGTCAAAATGAAGGTATCTACAAACGTAATCTCTTACGCAGGACAGATAAATTCATCATCGATTGATAAGCAGTACCATTTGGCGATTGGTAGTAGAACACGTGATTGTACTACGGCTTTGCAGTCGAGAATCAACCAATCTCTTGGTACATCTGGCCACTGTCTGCCTTAGTGAGCGTTCACCGATTCTCCATATGGTTGAGTGAGGCTACGGAGTGATCAAATGCCGTCAAAGAAACTAAGCGGGAAGCCATTGACTGAGGAAGTGGGTCGCGCTGGTACTCACCGCCCACCCCTACGGAAACCAGTGATCAATTAACCCACGAAGTAGAAATCCAGAAAAATAGGGCACTCAACTAGCTAGTGGAGCTTCTGAATTCGGTCAAACGATGCCACCTGTTGGGCTCCCACCCGACGATCTTAAAGTTTTTTTCAATCCTTTTCAGATTGAAAATTTAGTTAAGGGGTATTAATTCTCACTTCCTTGGTGCTGTTAAATATTGCACCCATGGTGATATGGGTCACAGCAGCTCGGAGCAGATGTGTTAAACTGAACTGGGCCGTGGCGAAAAGCTATCACAGTAAACAGAATACAGTGGTGATAACGTGAAACGGCCGTCAATTCTAGGCCCTTCACGCATGTGAATTATGACCAATGGCTTGATTCGGAAACTTCGGAGACGCCAGTTCTACTAGTTGGAGGAAAACTATGAGGTGATTATTTGAAAACACCGGTATCTCGGACCATACAGTGTTATACTGAATCATAGACATGTACATAGCAGGTGAAAATGAACACAGATGTTTGTGGGACTTGGACCGTAGTGCTTGACGACCGATGCATTGAACACTAAGCCACTGAGTCCGTTGAGTAACGCTCGGCACAACAGTCACTACGTCATTATTGCGTTGTGGATAGCCCGGAATAGTTTTGGCGCAAAAACACACGAAACTGATGGAGCGGACAAAGAAGAGCTATCCGTGAGAGAGCCAGTAACTTGTAATCCACCTGTGCTCTTCTTAGTTGTAAACAGTTATAAAGTGAATGCTCGATACGTCGGTGGATGCCAACCCACTCCACTTGTGTAGAAAATGATCATACGGAATTATTCTGTTCCTTCTCGAGCAGGTCTGTTCACAGTGGAGTTGAATAACGGTAGCCAGTCGATACCACATCAAATGTGCTGTCCTCAGCTCAGCTGTCTTGAAAGTAATTTGCCAATTATTCCGGCAAATTTTTTGTCAGATCCGCACAAATGCTGTACCAAATTCTTTGTAAAAAGCTCGAGAGACCAGCACGCTAAGAACATATTCGGCACAAGTCACGTTCGGAAGATATAAATCCCAGGAAGGAACTAACTGCTCAAGCTACCAGTCACGAGAGTTCATAGCACACCATCATAGTAACACGAAGTTCAGTTAGAAACTGAGGAAAATTTAGTGCGATTTAGCACAATTAAGGTCGGTGTGAATTTGGAGTTATACTGTGTGCGTCAACGGCGTCCCTGACCAGCAACCATTTCGGTGACTGCAATCGTTTCGTCAAGAGAAATGGTGGACGACGGAGTGTTCCGGTTAGAAGATAATGGTCAAATGCAGAAGTACAGTTCACAGATTTATCTGTGCATCGAAGAGCGGTAGATGCAGCTGTTGACGCACGCCGAAGAAAAATGTGGTTAACCTTAGGGATAAATATAATAATTCAAGAACAGTGAACATAAATAAAAAGCGTCAGATAAAATAGGCAAGCGCTCGGAATGAAGGGACGAGTGTAAAAGCGTCACTGACTCTGTGACCTCACCAGATCAGAAAAGATGGTGTCCCATGAATGATATGTCCGATCACGAGAAACCTCTCCGTGAGAGTGGCAAGAGAATAGCAATATTCGTCATTTCAGTTAACTTTTGCATGCAGCAGTACCAGGTTAACATTCAGCCCAACTGGGCTCAGGATTGGCAAACAAAACACACCGGGGTAGTTGGCTTGCAGGCATGCGGCGCATGTAACCGAGTCCACGCAGGTGATTTGAGCTTAACAGATACAAAAATAAATGGTCCGTCGTTCATTCATTCGGTTCCGCCATTGGATACAAAAGAAAGTTCGCAGACATTGGAGGTTGAACAAAGTTGCCTAACATGTCCCGCGCTTAGCTGTTAGATCACTGAACTATATAATGATATCGGCCAAGCTGCAGCATTGTAAGCCCTTTCCGTAACCAACAGGCATTCACCCACCCAGTATCGCGATAAGCGACTGAGGCTTTGAAAAGCAGTACGTGCCACTGCAAAGTGTGGCAGCAACCCCTACGTGGTTTGATCTTCATAGGTGATACAGCTATACAGGAATTAGTCGATCGCCAAATTTCATCGGTTGTTTGATTATAGTGAGAGTCGGTGGTGAGTCGCACCAGTCCTGTAACAACACTACTATGCACTTAGAATATCCAGAACGTACGACAAAGCGTACAACATCACACATCAGCCTGCTCAGTCACACCTGCGAAGCGGCCGAGTATGACCCAAACGAGAACTACGTCATCCGCATTTTCTAGCTTTAACATAACCGTCCAGCAGTACGTTGGCCACAGGAAAAGTGCAAGGAGGCAGGAAAGAGTCACTCATCTCGATCGCAAAGCTGCAGGGAAATAGCAACTAGGGTAGCCTCGACACATCAGTTATCATGGTGAAACCGATGGAAAATTCCCGTAGATCCTCACGCAGATACATAGTCGCGGTATGGGGTGTTATAATTGAGGGGCCGCCTCTGTATGATTGCGTAAAGCCTGATAAGATTGTCGCTGGCACGGTTGGAGCACGCCTACGATAACGGATTGGAACGCTGACCAATCGAACGGATTTGCGCTAACCTGGTGAGACGGAAATTGAGCGAGCGTGAGAACGATCCTAGCCGCACGTATTTGGGTAGACGCTGAGCCCTCGGAACGGACGCACACGAGAGGGGGTTACGGTAGACGCGCGCTAGTGACTTAGACGCGAAGGCTGGCCAGCTAACGACTCACACAAAATCACCTGACCCGACCGACTCCCAAGTAAGGCGAAGAGGAAAGAAAGACAGGCGGTCCTATGTACGCTATTTTACGACCAACAAAGGGCGAATCACAGCCAATACTATGGGTTATTAAGTTAAGGAAAACATTCATCAGGAAGAGGTGGTAGTTTGCAAACGACCATTGTCAAAAGGTGCGCAGTTGGGCCGTGTCTCGGAGTGGCTGAGCGCTGCTGCGTTGTGGGGAGGAATTGAACCTCGCTTTCCACAGCCATTCTGCCGGGGTTTCTGGCGCGTTTTTGGGGGAATATTTGACGGGCCCGCAACATGGGGATTTTAAATTAAGGAGAAGTTTTTCAGATACGTATTTCAAAAATAGACATCGCCACAAACATGTGTGGCCTCTGGTATCAAAGACAGACTTCAGGTCAAGAAAGACGATCATAATGGGTTGTATACAAGAATACCGACGTTCAAGCACCTGTCGAGGAGTGAAAATATGATCAGTGGACTCCCTGCCGAGTTAGAAGCCAGAGAACTTTCATCAATTCTTTTCTCAAGAGGATCAGTGAGTTGCCGCAGCATGGCGCTCGCCAGTAGTTTCGATGCAATTGAAATCACACTGGTGTCAAGATGATTTTCGCAGAATGTCCTTCAGCACTCTGAATGATGTAAATCACGGTGGAAAATCGCCAGCCGACAGGCACTTCCTTTTTGCGCCAAACACATAGAGAAGCTAAGGCAGTTATTAGTGAGTTGTCACCGTCCTTTAGTAACGATAGAGGACAGTCGCCTGGGCCAGGCGATCTGTTCCACTTCAGTAGCATTAGCTCGGGTAGCGTCACCTCACTCATGGCGGAGCTTGCTATGTCAACGGACCAGGCGAGTTCAACCGACCTAAGTGGCAACTCCATTACACCGAGCAGACCGAAATGATCGAAACGGCGTTGTAGCCAAGATGGGCAAGTGTGAAGCAGTTCCCAACAAAGTTCAGTTATCGGTTCACTCACAACGCGCATTTCTCGGACCCAAGCGTCGAATAAACTGGAGCAGTGCCAGTGTATTGTCAATGGCACTGGTCTTACACAGCTAAGGGGTCCTCGCCATTGACCGACGCTCTAGATCGATTCTCAGACTCCTAGCCATGCGACGTTTCAAAGTGTCACGAATAACTTGGAAGTGGCACACACTGTAGCTATCTCGCTTGCTTAAATTTGATTATTCAAAACGTCA